GAAAACGATATTACAGGGAATCGTTGATATTTTTGTGATGGCAAATTATTTCATTTTCTGGACACTGCGGGTCTCACAAGTGCTCAGTGATTTCTATTGGTCTTATCAGGACTACTATTTAGCGGAATGGTGCTTTAATCAGACCTACATATCGGTGTTTATACGGTGTTTTGGTGTGCTGCTCATTTCTTTTCAACGGTACATTTCTCTATGCAAAAGCAACTGGCGCATTGAACAGGTAACAAAGGAGAGAAAAGGACTCTAATAGGCCGATGTCAGACTTTGCGAATCGCGCGATTCGCAAAGTCTGACATCGGCCACACATAGCTACTGTAATTTTTCAGACCATCAACAATTCGCAGAGATGGATTTTGCCTGTGTTGCAGTGGGTGATACCAATCCTCTATTCTATTCCGCTTATCATCGTAAGTACCGCCATTTTTGAATCATCGGAGAGCCTCGAGGTGATAGCAGCCCAATCCGATATAACGGTGAGTGAACGAGCAGGTTTTCGTGTCTGAGGGCTCCTCGCTGTGATTGAAGAACCTCTTTTCGCTTTTTGCGCTGTTTGGTCGAATAAGCGAAGGAGGGTTTTTGAAAGAACTGGGAATAAGCCTTATTCTTCAAGGCCTAAGAAATTTGAATGAATAAATCCTAATTATATTTGAAGATCTCTAGGGACTTGTACGAATGTGGAGGAATTTACGAAAACTTTTTTCTAATCTGATTGTGTATAGCAGCATAACTGCCACACTATCAAAATCTATGGAATTTTTGGGAAATACAGGTGTGGAATAGGGAAAACGGAGTTGAGATAAGATTCGGCTTCCCCTATCCACACCTGACTTTTGATAAGTGAGAGTCGCAGGACTCCAAATGGAGATGGTGGGAGCAATTTAACTTTGATTTAACTGTGATGATATTATGATATTAATATTTGGAAAAAGCGCTAGTCCATCCCTTGCAACAAAGTTTATTCCCATTATACTTCTCAGTTCAAGTGCAGGACGCTTTCAGAGTTGGCATAAACATATTTCTCATTTTTTAGCTTGCCACTTTGATGGCCACTGTTTTTGTTTCCGTCACTTTCATTGAGTGCGCCTTTTGTTACGGAGCTATTCTGAGGTTCCTGATGGAGAATCGACTGGACAGCTGCGAGTAAGCGTACTTCCGGACCATCAAGCCCCCAGGAGAATCGGAAATCGAACGAAATTTCAGAGCAATGAAACGAGAACGTCGTCTCTACGTGCAAATGCTAGGACTGTTAGTCGCGTTTTTACTTATGTTCGCTTACAATATCTTGCAGTTCATATTTTCTCTGTATACAAATGTAAGTTGCTTTCTTGAAAGAATTTTCTGGCTATGCAGCTTGAGTGTTGCCTACATGACTGGAGCACCCGAACAAGGCTTTGCGGCAAAAGGTTCCAATAGTTATGGCCCAGTCAGTTGTTAGTACCTGCTAAAGGGGAAATAAAGTCCTATTCTGATTTCGAATGGCTAGAACAGCAGTTGCGTGCACGGAGAAGGGTCGACCATTGCCTCGATAGGCTATTACGAAAGTTTGTATTGAACTACCTAATTCGAGCGCAGTTCCCCCGTTCAAAAGTTAGCTGCACGCGTATGTCGACGGCTTAAGAGTGAAAATTGAAGCAAGATAGCGCTAACAACTCGGTCAATTGGCGAACAGCGCAAAGAATGATAACACAATCTTATTCCTTTCTTTTCAGAAAGGCCCAATATTCGAAATGAGAACGATATTCCCGGTCATCAGTTGCTTCTTCTCATATATTAATGCTTGGATGACTCTGATTCTAAATGACGACATAAGAAAGAAAATTGTTATTCTGCTAGGATATCGTGTAATTAAGATTGAGGTGAGTAACGCTACACTACTTGAAAAAGATCTTCACCACTAGCAGCTTCAAAGGAGGGGGCACATGGCGTAAAGGTCATATGGGTAATGGCAAATCTCTGAAGGCAGGTGAGTAACACTTCTTGTTCTTGTGCCTGACCCAAATCAGCCCAAGTATCTTTCCCCACTCCACTTCTACATCTTAGGTCAATCTAGAAGAATCCGCCGTTCCGAACGCATGACTTTCGCACTGACTCATGACATGACAAACTTTATAACTTTCTTCAAACACAAGCGTTTTATTCGAAGTAACAACCATTCAACACAATTTTGCTAATGCCCTGCAAGCGATTTGACATCTGTTTTATAAAAATCTGAACCAAGAACAGCTCAATAAGAAGGATGTAGAATAGTAAGTTCGACATCCTCTTCATTTTGAAAGATTTCCCCTACAAAAAATGCGGCAAGAAACGAAAAAAAAACATAGGGAAAGATCTGGAGAGTGAGGAGAATACGGAAGGACTTCCATGCCCAATTGGAACAGCATTGCATGGTGCGACATACGGTTCGGCATTGTCGTGCAAGAGGATCGGACCATTTTCGATTCACTAGAGCTGGAGGTCGTTGTCGCAGTTTTCCATACATGATGTCCAATTCTTCACAGTAGGACTTCGACATTATTGCCTGAACTGGACTCGGTAGTGGATGACGTCTCCGATAGACCACCAGACAGTGAGCATAATCTTCTTCGGGTGAAGTCCAGGTTTTGCGATCTTCCGAGGAGGCCCGTTTTCGTCAACCCACGGAGCAGCCCTATTCGAACTTTTGTAAAGAACTCAGGTTTCAGCACGTTCTTACGGTCTAGAAATGGCTCGTCATTGTTGTGATATAGGACACCTCGATGCGCACTGCCATGTGTCTAGCTATAAGCTCGAAGGGGGGAGGGGGAGAGGGACCCATTATAGAACTTTTTCTTCTCTCCATCGTGTGCAGGTGAGTAAGCACGGTACACTCGAAGATTCCAAGCTCTCCTGCAAAATCTTCAGAGAGTCGTCTACTGCACGTACAGGCCTCCAAGAACGTGCGTTATCTCCGAGGCATCTGTCCTCTGACTAGAACTTGGCGCACAAGCCTCTCACCATACCTTCTCTGGGAGCGCTTCTTCCAAGAACGACCAACATGTTCCGAGCCGATTCCGATGCATTTCTTTCAAGTTTGAAGTCGTAAAGCGCCACTACTCGAAAATCGCAGGCTTCCATAGCTTTGAAGAACAGCTGAAATTACCTAGAGTGGTAAAGAGATTCCCAAACTGGAGATAGAAGCAGCTTTTTCTTCACAAAGTAGTACCCAACTTGCCTCTGTATTGGAGGTAGGAGTATGAAAAAAAGTGCGGGAAAATAGGGCGCAGAATTACCAGAATAGTCCACCGTGGAGTGTGCCTTCAACTGAACAGGCGCTGGTTTGTTTCCATAATGTTTTGCTCCTAGTTTTGCTCCTATGTACATTACACAAAACATGGGTATCTGTATGTGATTAAGAAACATTCCAATTCCACAGCGCCTAATTTTGGCAGTAATCGTTTGTGACTTGTAGCAGGCACCAAAGAACAGGATAGATTCATACATTCAGAACAGAATTGATAACTACGTAGGCTGAGCGTTTTGAAGCACGTGATGATACAATGTTGAGTGGCATAAACCTCTCACAGAAAATCGAACCTTTCTTCAGGGATCCGTGAAAATTTCGTCTACTCAGAAGATGCTCCGTCTTTACCGATCCGTCGCGATTCTAGTTCCGGTTCTTCTATTAAACTATTTCTAGAGCACTGCAAAAGTCTTAATAGGCTAGGATACATTGTTTGAATTCTTCAACAGCTCTGTTCAGATTTTCATTCAATTTAGAATTTATTCACTATCTTTATAACAGTCGCACAACGAATGAGCAAATCATCAATTCTTTCGTTCCAAAAAAACGAACGATTTTTAAAGGCATGCCCCAGATGCCCCAGTTTCAAATTGGTGTGGTTCTTATACATT